AGACAAATACAGTGTTTTCTGTATTAACACTTTTTATATTGTTTCATGTTATAGGAAGAAATAAATGCTTAACCTAGAAAAATTATGAAAATGTTCTATTTTGATATTAATTATGCAATATTTCTATATTTATTTACTAAGGTTTTGTAGATATTTCACATGGAGTAGCACTGGTCACTATAAGTTTTTTTTTTTTTTTTTTTTCCGTTCATGAAAAAAGAAATTATTCTGCATTTGAGATTTTATCTTAAATCCCACTATATTCAGGAGTATTTTGTGTTTGCATTCTTAAAGACTTCTTTTTACCCCTAAAAATAATTTATTAGGATTCTCTGCTTATTTAACTACATTTTTTAAAATTTTCTAATCCTATTAAAAGGCAATTTGGAAATAGTGGGTTTGTGAGGTGAAAATGTATCAGAAACATTGCTGCTCTAGTATGCTGTATATAGTCTTAAAGTTACTTCTCTTTCTCTTTGTGCCATGTCCTTTCAGGATGTGGATGATTATAGCTCACCAATGCTTCCTGTCTTATTGTTCTAAGTAATTTTTGCTTGTTTATAACCCCTCTTTGTTTTTGTGATACTTATTTGCTCAATTTTGTCAAGTAAGCTACTCAGTACTTTACTTGTCTTCAATATATCCTGTGAGTGATGAATTTTTTCCAAGCTATCTTTCCTCATATCCTAAAGATTTCATGTATTTATTACTGATTGTTAGAAGATTAGAGTTCCTATTCTCTTTAGAACTTCCTCATTTGTCACATACTGTCTGTATTGTTATTCCTTAATACGTTATTGTTTCTGAAAAGCATTTTCCTCTATTCCTCCATGCTTTTGGATTTCTGTCACGCTTTCCAATATTAGTATATTACCCAAATGTTTATATTTCCATACCTACTTAGTTTTTACCAGTCATGAAGTCTATCTTTCAGTTAATGGTTAATCTTTTATTATTCCTTTCAATGACTAACTTGTCTGATAGTTTATTCAGTTTCATCTAAATTTGATATCTATATAGTGTTGTTTGTATCTTATGTCTACTGCTGATAATAAATCCTTGTAGGTTTTTTTTTTTTTTTTAGTCCATTTAGTATCATTTTGGTATAATGGTTCAATAAGTTTGGTGTGGAAACACATCTTTGTTACATTCCTATTTCTATTTTTGTATATTATCTTACTCTATACATGTGCAAGCCGTTTGTTTCCAGTATAGGTTATGAATTCCTTAAATATCTTTTCCATGTAGATGATTTCCTAAAATTCAAATTCTTAGTGTTATGCTTTTCAGATACTTCTTTTTTTTTTCCAAATGACTTCTTCTGATGTTACTTGTGTTTCCCTTAAACAGTTCTATTTTCAGTTCCTGACTTATTTCAAAGTTTCATGTTTGTTTTCTCTTGCAACTACATAAATTTGTTTGCAATTGAGTTATGAAGTTTGTCATATTGTTGTTTAGACATTACCTTGGGCTCTGTAATTTTTACAGTTTTACTCTAGCATTCTCGGTATGATGATAAACTACATCCGCATCCTGGGTAAGATGATAAACTACGTCCAACAGCAAGGCCTCTGATCAGGAGGTTTTGAGGGGCATGGAAACACCTTTTTATTTGCTGGTGTTCCCAGGTCCACCCTGACCCGGGGTGGTAGCACCTGTTAGGGTCCCAGCTATAGGCAAATAGTTAACCCTGAAACTGTGGTCAAAACACTATGAAATTGTAAAAATAGGTCTTAATACCAGAAATACTCTGTAAAAAATTATTACCAGCAATACATTATTGAAGAAAAAACATTATCAGAAATGGATTTTTGACAAAACAAAATATTACCAGCAAAAAAAAATAACCCATTAATGTTGATATGCTGTAAAACAAACCAAACAGTTTTACTTTAAGCTTGCATATAAATGGAAATGAAACTCCCACTGCTTGGGTATATTTTTGACATGCAAAACTAAGTTTAAGTAGTCTCTGATTTTTGATACCACCTACAGGACTTTTCAAAGTTCTTAGAATGCCTTTGATGTTCTTCAAGCCAAGTTTGACCATTCAGTGTGCCTTGAGGAATCAATTTTTCTGTGTGACTAGTCCATATTTCTCAACCATTTGACTATGTTGTTCCTTTCTTTTGCATTTAGACTCTTGGACATAAGGATAACTTGGAATTTGCCCCAAGATTTGGCATTTTCTAGTGTCACAAAACTTACCTCCTACTTCTTCACTTCTTTCTGACATTAGTTTATACAGCATTTGATGAATTGGTTCAAGGCAAACCAACTCCCACTCCATACTGTTGTATTTGTCAGTTGGGAATTACCATGACTCTTTTTGGGGATGAATAGTGGAGTAATTTTCCATTGCCTGCTCCATGGTGATTTTATTGAGACACAACTTCTAGTTAGCTAGCTGTTGGTGTTTGAAGTTTCTCTACCTTTTGATGAGTTTTTTTTTTTTTACTCTGTTGATAACCACATTCCTTATCCATACTGAAGTAGGACAGAGAGCCAGTTTAATCTCCAGTGATCTGCAAAAAAAAAAATTTTGAAGTATTTATTTTCATTACTGTTGCAGAAGATAAATAGATTAGTGTTTAAAATTGGGTACTGATCAAGTATTTGTCTTTGTCCAGCAAAGTAGTATTTTGTGAGTAAGGTATCACAGCCACAAGTTTCCTGTTGGAGATTTTCTTTCTCCTTAGCAGATGGTAGAGTTAACTGTAAAGATCCACCACCTCTTCAAAGAAGTATTCTAACAGTATGACTAACATGGGTATATCAAGCTTTTAGGTATTTGTTTACTTGGAACAATTCATAGCTTTATAGTATACAACTTTTGACTTCATTTAAGCTTCTGTAACCCCTCTGATTTCCTGCCATTTTTTTTCTTTTTATCACTCACCGCACCAAATAGGTAAACACATCTAGGAGATATTCATATTGAATTGTCTATGTATTACAAAGCAGAATACTAAACACCACTCTAACATTCCTGAAGCTTTCATAAGGGGTGCTTTTCCTCGTCTTATATGTGGAATGCTGTATGGTCTCAAACTGGCTTTAAGTCATCAATGGCACAAAAGTAGGACATCAAGAGTGGAACAAGTTGAACCATTGTATATGGGGATATATATATATATATATATATATATATATATATATATATATATATAATTTTCCTCTGGTCACTGATAGCATCAATAAACTTTGTGTCAAAAATAAAATACAATTTGAAAGGATTATACAGAATTTTAATTTAAGGAAAAATAATGTTTCTTCGAAGTAAAAACAAAAAAAATAAAGAAAATTTATATAAACTTTAACTCTATAAATTAAAGAATTTTAATCAATTTCATGAATTATGGAAATTGTATCAAGTGTCTTTTTTCTTTTTCCCCTCAAATTAACTTGAAAATTTTGTTTCTCATATAACTTTCCATTTGACTTTGTTTGTATACAACAGGTCAACAGTTCACATTTTATGCATGTTTCCTCTAATTCCAAAGAGTTTAATCTAACATACAGTAGGTGTACAGAAAGATTCTTGCCAAAGCTTCCACATCTTGCACTAAGTATGTTTTACCATCTCTTTGCTATGTACATTTGGTTTGTTTCTCTTTCTTCTGACATGTTTTAAAAAAAAAAAAAAATCATACTTTTTCTTCTCTTGTAGAATTTAACATCTAGGTATTATCTTTATATGGATTACCTCTTTTTATACTATTGGTGGCATGATTTAGGGTATTTTACACTTATATTGACTGTTTTTCATTTTGGAAAATTATTAGTTAAATTATCATAGAACTGTTCATTACAGTGGTTTTGATAAATTGCAGAAATATTTCAAATGAACCTCTACTTTTGTGTACATAAGAAATTGTATATATACTGGGCAGTCAAAATGTCTTATCTGATTTGACTTTAGTCAGATTTTATTATTCAATGTCTTCAAATTAAAGTTGATATTAAGTTTGTCATTTATATTGGTAAAAATTTCAGTATGTATTTATGTGAACAATATATTATGTGAGCTTCAGTGCGTAATATCTTTCCTTGTTAAAAAATATTGATAATTTATGGAAGTGTCAAGTTTTATTCCCATATAAACTAAGTACAACATGTTTTATTTATAAATAAATCCAGAATATATAGACCGCAAAAACATGTATCAAAATATCCTGTACACCCAAATTATTTTATTATTTTACATGTTAACATGGACTTACTGACATTCTTTGACCCTCATCTTTCATTCATCAATTTTAACTTTTCTACTGTTTCAACATTAATTTACAGCAGTTTTTATTGCTTCCCAGAGAACTTACTTGAATATTGTTTTTTCATTCTTACATACATCTCTTTTAATCGTGGATCATACGATTTCTATTGGATCCATTCCATTAGTTTGATGTTTGAAACATTTTCTTGACAGGGTTGGCAGTAGTCAGTTGTACATAATGTGAAGGAACATTGTTTTGCACAAATGTAGACTTTAGATTAAAACATCTTATTTTTGATCTGTACCACTTAAAAAATGTTTTGCCCAAGAACTTAGAATAATTCTCTGCATTGATCTTGATTCCATTTCAACTTTAAAGGGACTGAGAATTTTACTGCTTGTAATATTAACCCAATCCATAACTAAACCTTCTCACTGTTGTCTTCTAATTCATATTAGTTTACTATTTCCGTGAAGTACCCAGATTTTAGTTCAACTATCAAGTTCATCTTGTATAGTGGGTGCTGAAAAGTTTGTTAGTATATTTTTACACACATATGTAGTTTTGAGTTCATTGGCTTTCATCAGATGCTCAAAGTAGTCTATAACAAATGGTTCAATTTATGCTATAGAATGGCATAGGAAAATTGGAAATCTAAAACTTATATTATTTTTGTTGATCTATAGCAAAGTCCTATGTTGTTTTTAAGGTGAAACTTTATTGCATTAAATGAATTCTTTTTGATTGATACCATGTGAAATGTTTATACGTTCTCTTTTGTAGATGGTATTTTGGAAAGATACGTCGGGTAGAAGCAGAGAAGAAATTATTATTGCCTGAGAATGAACATGGATCATTTTTAATCCGTGATAGTGAAAGCAGAAAGAATGACTATTCCTTGTCAGGTAAGTGCATGGATATTGTGATGTCAGTAACTTTCCTGCAAAATTTGCTACTACACTTTTTGCCAAAGAAAAAGTCTTACCTGCTCACAGTTCATGAACTATATAAATACAGTACAAATCCAATAAACTTAATTGTTTTTCTCAACCATTTTTGTTTTTTGGCTTTCAATTATGTATACTTGTGGTTTAGATGGCTAATCATATCATGGTTAGGATTTCTGAAACAAACCTATCAAAACTGATTCATTTTTAATAATCCTTTAGTGATACAGCTTAGTAGATTAAAGTGTTGGTTCATGAATTTAGTGATATAGTAAATGATTTCAATCCCTGGGTTGGTATTGTAGATGTAGATTCAATGGAAACAGGGTGAGCAATAACTGATCAGTATTAAATAAGTATGTGACAAGATATTCCTAGACATGAACAGTGGAATGATAACAATCTAGTCCCGTAGTTTAAATAAAGGCTTCAGTTGAAAATTCCCTGATGTTTACCTAAATTGTCAAGCACCTGAAGAAAGCTGGAGGGGCACAATGGTCAAAACATAACAAAAATGAGGACTATAGTCCAAATATAAATAATAAATACAAAAAGAATATATAAGAAATAAAATTAACAAAATTCCCAGTACATTTAACATGTGAACAAATATATGAATTCAAAAAGTTCATCTTTTAATACTAATCTATGCTGAATGAGAAAACTTAGTTAATATTTTAACTTCAGAGGCATGTATAAAGAGTAGAAATACTGCTCCCTTCATGTAAAAGCTTGTACTAACACATTTTAATTTAAAAAGACTTATAGTTATCTAGTTAGAGGAAGCTGTAAAGATTGTTCACAGGACTATGAATAAAAAAAAATCATAGTAACATTTTTTCTTAAAATTGAAATTTGATAATTTAACCACTGAATTTTCCAATTTTTAACTCTCAAGCCTTATATTGTGCATCAAAAATCATAAAAAATGGATTGTCAGGAATCAAAATTGTATAATCATTACTGACACAGAATAGGACTCCTATATAACCAGAACTTTTTGTAAGTGAAAAAGGAATAGGCTTTTTTCCTGTGTATAATTCCTCTATTGTTGTATTTAAATTATGATAAGAATTTAAAAAATTTAGTGATACTGATTTGATTCCCTGACTATTTCTATTTCCACTAAAAATAAAGGTTAATAGTCATTAGTGTGCACCTCATATACTGTTAATCTTTTATACTCCCTATTCATTGAAACTTAATGAATACGAACATTGTATTATTAATGTTTGACTATTTTATTTCCCAGCTTGTTACCTTTTTATCACAATACTGTAGTTCAGTAGACTCATTGACTATTAAAACAGTGTGAATTGGAAATAAACTGTTACAAGACTTGAACTTGTATCACATATCATGAGAGCACATTTTACATTGACTTAGTTTGGACTATGGAGGCTAACAGCTAATTGGAGCTTGCTTCTGATTTGATTATTAATCATATTTTTTGTTTCACTTTTTCATAGCAATAGTATTTTCATTACTAATCAAAATGAATGAAAATATGTCATCTTCGAATACAAATAACTTTGTTCTTTTAACATTTCTTTGGCCAATTTTTTTACCAACATGACAGTTCCTATAAGATGGGCTCTAAAGATGATCAAACAATTTACTGGTTAGAGATCTGATGAAAACACTTTAAAATAATCTAAAATTTTAAATTTTTGATTACATTTACAAATGTCAATCCCAATATGTGTATTTACTGTGTAAGCATTATCTTATCAATATAAAATTTTGATAAAAGGATATTTTTTTTGTCCACTTCTTTTGATAACATTATAATACAAAGAAATTAGAAAAGATAATAGATTATGAAGAATTAAAAAAAAAAAAAAGTATCTTATCCTGGATATTGCCATTATTCAGTGAATCTGAATAGTGGACTCTCATCAAGTTAGCTAATTTGTGTAGCTATGCAACTTTATTATTAAATGAAGCTTTTATTTATACAGTGCATGGAGTGGTTAGAATATGAGTGTTTTGATACTGAGGCTTAGGTTTGAATCTCATCATAATCAATTTGTTCTTTTTGATAACAACCATTGTGCAGCACTGTCGGAAAGTGCCGGAAAACCACATCACAAGTTGAGCCAAACCTTGTGAATCAAATTGGGTAGATGAAACTGTTTGGAAGTTGTTGCTGGCTGTGCTAACACACAGTCACAAGTCATTGTGACTAAGGGTTTGTGTATACTGGCCTTGTTTAATTACTGATCATGCCAGATAATATGCACTCTCTCAGAAACTGTAACTAAGGTCTGCTTAGCATATTTTGCAATATAAACCACATGTTAGCTCTATGGGTGTTGAAAAAATACAAATATGCCTGAGCAGGTGTCTACAATGGAGATTAGATAGGATGCATAGTCTCTTGATACCTACTTATTTTATTTATTCTTTTTTTTTTAATTTATACATCTGCAGTTAAAATGTATTTGCCTACCTCTGTTATTATTGCTCCTGGGTTTTCTCAAAATAAATTTATTTATATAGCCTTTGATTTATCATACTTATAATAAACATGTTATTAAACAGTGAATTGTTACTGGAAAACTTACGTTTCTTTCTGTATTATTTGTGATTATATTCTTTAGAAATAATAAAGTTCTTCTAGTAACTTCTCAGTACTATTAATTATTATCATATTTATTAGAGAGAAAAGAGCATCTCTTGCAGCTCAGCTTCTGATTTTTCAGGCTATTCTCTGTTTCTATTGTAATATATTGAAAGATTTTTACAATAGTTTGATCTTTTTTTTGTCATTGCTAAGAATATTGAAAAATTATAACACATACATCTGTTGTGACAGAGTTCTTGAGAGTTCAGATGTAGAATGATTAAAGAAACCAGTCAAACCATGAATGAACTTTTTATTTTTACATCAAACAAGAAATACATTTCTGATCAACTTTGACTACACAGAAATACAAAAATGCTTTTAAGACCAGCTCTTTTACTAACCCTGCTTTATTTCTTAGTTACTTTCTGATCACTCTGACTAGCTGGCTTTTTTTATGCTTTCATGGTCAAACCTATAATCCTAATATGTATTTCAGTCACTAGATATGTTTCTCCTTCATTCTACCATGTGTAACACAAACATGTTCTTTTGACCATGCTATGACCCAAGATATTTTAGTGCTAAGCAACGCTACCTATCAGGTGGTTGTTATTCCAAATTAAAGGCTCTTGTTTGTTTTTTGCTTTTAGATACCAAAAACTAACATAAATCATCTACCTCATTTATAAGTCAGTTTTCAATCAAAAGTCCTAATTACTGTACTCTGAAAGTGTGATAAACATTTAAAATTCAGTTAAAGAAAAATGTCCTTTCTCTCTAGAGAGAAAGAGGCTGTAAACTTGTTAAACAAGTATGAGCACAGATAGACGTGTGTGTGTATATATATATATATATATATATATATATATATATATATATATATATTCTATGGGATGAGAAGAAATGTTTTCAGAATGGTGCAATTTAGCATTTTCTATTTTTGAACTGAAATTAATAACTTTCATGTTGGCAAAAGCAACACAAGCTTATCTTTGAATATTTATTAAAATGCTTCCATTTGGGTATTTTTTTTATTTTTATTGATTTTAGTTTTATATTCTTATTAATTTAAAGTCAAATTGTTACCTCTATATAAAAATATAGAAAATAATAATATAGAAATAATAAAATGAAAAGTTACCAATAAAAATAACCTGTGAGATCTGATCATTAATGTTAAATTTTGACTTTGACCCTCCCCATATATATATATATATATATATATATATATAGATAATGGCTTCAAATAAGAAATTGGAGAGCTAAGTTCAAATTCCAGTTGAATTTGTTATATTCACTTATGTGCAAATACCCTTGGGAAAGGTATGAATACATCTCTCCTTGCACCAGCTGTGGGTTAAATAACTGGGTCCTATAACTTTGGTTGGCAATTAGTCTACCACTACTACCAGTCTAGAAAGTAACAACAGCCTACTCTTGGAATTCTTCTGCCAAGTCCATCATGAGACAAAAGGAAACCTGATCGCCCAAACATGCATCACATACGGCAACCAATGAAGGAAGCTATATTTCTGTAATAGATTTAACTTTACAGGACATTTCAAGTGAGTGTGCTTATGGACACATCATGTTGAAACACTGATTCCAGTACAATCACCAAAGTTAAGCAATGTCAAGCCTGGTCAGTACCTAGATGAGTTACCATTTGGGAATACCAGGTGTTGTAAGCTTGTATGTGTGAGTGGTGTAATGGATAATAGCCAAGTTCCAATTTCCGTTGGGTTTGTTATATTTACTAACATGCAAATATCCTTGGGAAATGTATGGATGCCCCCCACTATGGGTTAATTAGTAAGACATGTATCACTAAACCGTTATCTCCAAAAAAAAAAAAAAAAATTACAATCTAAAAATATTTTCTGGCTTTAAGTAACCTGCAAAGGGTTAAACCGTAGAAAACGAATAAAACCAAATCAAGTGAGTGTGTCTCTCTCTATTGTGACCTTATACCAAACTAGGCAAGGTGAAGTAAATAGCTACTTCAGTTTGCATTAATATCTAACCTTATATAAACCATAAGTAGCTAATATGATTATTTACCCGCTGCCCCATGCAGCAAGACGTGGCACAAGGCCGAGTTTAAAGTGGGGAATCTAAGCCTGTACTTCCAAATTATCTATGTATAGAAATCAAATTGTGACTTGACAGATAATTATATTTAGCTGAGTACAAATGGGATGAGGGAAATAGAGTAGAAAGAGAGTACGACATAATTGCCTTGAAAATGGGTGTGTGAAATCTCCTGTTTTTTTTTTTTTGTTTGTTTTGTTTTTTTTTATGACTTAAACCATTGGCATTAATAGAAAATGTGTAACTATTTCTTGATTATTTAAACATTTTTTAATTTTGATTAATTTTTTATTAAAATGCAAATTCAGAAAAATCTTTAAATATGGTTCATGAACTGATGAGGCTTTTTTCCCCACTTACATTTTTTTCTTTCTTTCAAATTTTATTTACTATTGTTTATGGAAAATCTCTTTCTTTCCTGATTAGTCAGTAATCAGTCCATGGTGCTAGTATTTGTTGTCACTGTTGTTTGGTTGCATTTTTCTTTAGTAAATTGTTTACCTTTTTATTGACTTTTCTATTGTTTGAAGAAAAATTAATTTAACAATTTACTTCATTATTTTCTTTTTTTTTTTTTTCTCAGATTTATATTGTAGACTAAAGACTGCATGATTCAAGTAACTTCAATGGAAGTTTGACTAAATCAACAAAGCTGAATTTTTGAATATTAAAAAAAATTCCCTTGTAAATATCTTGTAAAATTATTTTATATTAATAAATATTGCTACTTTAATGTTAAATCCACATGTCTTTTTACGATCACATGAAAAAATGGTAATCATTAATAAACCATTACTTTAATTTGTTACATATTTAAAAATAATACTTTAATATTCAACAGCAGTAAGTCTTTTCTAAATCATGAAAACAAATATATCTACCTTTTTTATGAGAATCAGATATCTGCAGAATATGTTTACAATTTTAAAAATAATTGTCTTTTTGAAGAAGGATGCAGGAAACTAACTGTAGTACTATTTTTTATGTTTTTGAGCTGTTAATTAGGAGTTGGGGTCTATTCACTTTTAATGTTCTTCTGTAATTTAGTATCTTTTAAATAATTAAACATAATTTTTATATATAATAGAGAACCTATGAATTTTTGTATTTCAGAGAGATGAATTTCCAAATTAGTTTAAATAAGGAAATAATCCTAGATTTTTTTTTTTTTTAATGCTTCCCATTTGTTTGTCTCTGTCTTGCATGCATCTTGTGTTTTGGTGTAAAAGTTTTTTGTTTTTTTTTTTTGTTTTTTTTAATCCCTGTCTATAAGTAACTGTTTTCTTTTGTCTTTTATTGCACAGAATATCTGTGTTCGTTCATTTTGCAGTGTAGCCAAGTTCATGTTAGAACCACAGTGTATTTGTCAATCCTCATCACTGTATTAATATTATTGTTTGCCTATGTCACTGTTCATGTGTATCCCAGTCAACCAATAATCAGGAATAACCTTTACCTTTGTTAATTCCTTACAGTAATTGTTTCCTCACCATCGCATGGTTTACCCTGTATATTTTGTTTGTCTATGGGATGGTGTGACTACCATGTCCTTTGTTTGTCAAAGAGTTACAACCTATATTTCCTTTTATTTACCCTGTGTTCATAATTCCCTCCCTCTGTGTCAGCATCTGTGTGTCTGTAAAATACATTTTTTTTCAAAATAGGACTAAGCTTCCATATATAATATGCTACTTAAACAGAAGAAAAAATCAATATGAAATCTTTTCTAAATTGTAAATGTTTAATCAATGAAGAAAAAAATAATTAAAATATTAATAGATTTGTTCAGTGATTAAAGCTTTAGACAGGAGCCCTTGAGATCCAATGTTTGTGATTTATTTCAAAGGAAGTATTTTTAACCCCCAAATCAGGACAAATTATGATTTTTGTTACTCCATCAATAGAAAGGAGTGTTAAACTCTTAACATTTACTGGATGTAAATACAAAATTGGTTTTCTCTAACTGCATATATTTTAGAAAGAATTTAGTGTTTCTTAAATTGCCTCAATGGATACTTTTTTGTTATTCCTAATTTATGAATTTTTTATTTTGTTCTATTTGTTATTTTGTTTCAAATATTTAGGTAGTTTTATGTCAGTTTGTTCTGATCCATTTTTTGTTGTTGTCTGGAGCTTAACTTTTTTTTTTTTATTTACTTTTTTTTTGTAGGATATTGATTAAAAATTTAATCTGATTAAGAGAACTTAATGTTTTTTTTATTATATATATATATATATATATAATATAATTTTTTTTTTTTTTTTTTTAAATCAGTTTGGATTCAAATGTACAGTAATACCTTCCTACAAATTAAAAAAAAATAGATACATTGATTTCTTTGAAAAGCAAAATATAAAAAAAAATAATTTGGTCTTAAAGATTTTGTTGACATGGAATAAGCTGTCAAGTTTTTATATGGAAATAATCAATTTTTACTTATTTTTGTGTTAAATTATAAGATTAAAAAGCCTTCAGTTATAAAGTTCTGTTTCTGCTCTGGCCATGATTGTTCTATCTCCAGATTTTATTAAACTACTCACTCATATCGGTTACCAACAGTATTTATACATTCTTAAATATCAGTATCAGTTATAACCAGTCATGCAAACAACATACTTTTTACTCTTATTAAAGATACTAAATTGCTTACTAATCAGTTTTTAGAACTTACCTCACCTAATAATAAAATTATATTATTACTGCTTTTGTTTTTTTCACTTCTCTTTTTTTCTTTTCTCTTTCTCTTTTCTCCTCCTCTTTTTTCTCTACCCCTCCTCTGCCTCCACCTGTTTTGCCTTTCTCTCCTCCTCTATCAGTTTAAATAAATTAGATCTGCAACTTTGAAATAAAAATATACTAACCTCATTTAAAAAAAATTACTCATCAAATTACCTTATGCCAAAAAAAATCACACCCTTTTTTTTTTTTTTTTTTTCTTTTTTTTTTTTCAATTATTGATGTTAATTGATTTTGTAAATTGTTGCTTACTGTGGAAAATAAAAATGCTAATGAAAATATATTTACAACTTTAGAATAGAAAATGTCATTGAGACTGTGATAGGAAAATAGTTATTAATAATAATGCATCAATAAATGTACAAAAATTTTAATGCATTCAATACTTGTGTGCTGAAGTGGTTTGAATCTAACACAATTGTCATCATTTCTTTTTACTCACTTTGGACATTACTGTTTTGCATGACTTATATGCTGTGATCCACATGTAATATATTTACATGAACCTCTACCTTTTTAGTTCCTTTGATCAACATTCTAAATATCAAGATTTAGTGATTATTAAATGTAAATAAAATTCATTCACATCAGTATCATAACCCATTAGGGATGTAAGGGCACTACATGTACTGCAGCTACATCAATAGTGGTGTGTCTAGGGCAAAATAACCTGGCAGTCTATCCCTCTTCAGACTAGTTTTGAATTCTCCTAGGCTTCAAAGTCAAAGAGAATAATCTGTTCTGCTATTTAATCCATAGCTGGAAAAACATGGATTCACCCCTTTTCCAAGGGCTTAATGTTGAAGTGAAGAAAATTGAATTTAGCTGGAATTGAATTCTGCATGCTAAATTCAATTTCTGTATCGATGACTATTACACTATTTATGCCTTCAATAAAACTGATGAAACTAATTGAAGAAATACTAGATTTGTTTGTAGCCTGAAGATCAAGCAAAAAAAAAATTAGTGTTCAGGCTGTAGCATAGTGTATTTTAAAATCTATGTGCAGAATTAGACATTATTAAAATCTATGTGCAGAATTAGACATTATTAAAATCTATGTGCAGAATTAGACATTATTAAAATCTATGTGCAGAATTAGACATTATTAAAATCTATGTGCAGAATTAGACATTATTAAAATCTATGTGCAGAATTAGACATTATTAAAATCTATGTGCAGAATTAGACATTATTAAAATCTATGTGCAGAATTAGACATTATTAAAATCTATGTGCAGAATTAGACATTATTAAAATCTATGCAGAATTAGACATTATTAAAATCTATGTGCAGAATTAGACATTATTAAAATCTATGTGCAGAATTAGACATTATTAAAATCTATGTGCAGAATTAGACATTATTAAAATCTATGTGCAGAATTAGACATTATTAAAATCTATGTGCAGAATTAGACATTATTAAAATCTATGTGCAGAATTAGACATTATTAAAATCTATGTGCAGAATTAGACATTATTAAAATCTATGTGCAGAATTAGACATTATTAAAATCTATGTGCAGAAAAGATGTGAATATTGTTGTGCATACATTTTATACACACATTGTTTTTTAGTTTATGTCTAATTATTTTTCATCTGAATCATTTTTGTTTTGCTTTCAATTCTTTGGATAAGAATACATACTAACTTTCATTTTTTGTAAAAACACTTGCAAAGAGGCTTTTTTTGTTGTTTAAACAATATTAAGCTTTTCTACATCTTCTGGTTATTTTCTTCCATATTTGATAGTAAAAACAAGAAAACAACCATCCTTCAATGTTTTTCAACAGTTATTTCAACACAAGTAATTTTGTGTATAATTGTGTGTGTGTGTGTGTGTATAAATTCATGTTTAGGTCCTTATTTCATTATTATTACTAAGTGTCCTAACCATCAGAGATAGAGGCAATCAGATTTTAAATGATTCTAAGGTATTAATGAACTCATTATTTCTAATTATGACTGAAGGCTATGAAAATATTTGGACAATAATCTTGATATAATTATCAATTTAATTATTCTTGCTTTATACTTTTTTGACTTCAGAATATTATTAAAATTTAAAAACCTGATTCTTTATCTATTGCTTACATATATGTTAAATTGGGGATAGGTAAGTTATTCAGGAAGTTATGATTTACTTTGCAAACAAGATTGTCACATGTGAGAAATTTCCCAATTAGTAATTGTTTCAGTTGAATTGCAGACAAGAAGGCTAGGAAAGCAAGCTTATTCTGTTTTTAAAAATGTTTGTCCAAAGAAGATTTTTCACATGTTTTGCTTTTCCTTCCACTTAAAGAATAGGTTACTTTGTGGTGGTGTTCAAATTACGATGAAAATTATAATACTAAAAATATTGTAGATTGTTTGCTTATATATTTACTGCCACTAGGCACATAAGCATCTGATGGCATGTTGTGTATTGCTTCTGATACTCATGTGCATCCATTCCACAAAATTTCATGAATTATCATTCTTTATACTCTAATAAATCTAATTTTATTTATCAACATAAAGCCTGTCCTCTTATTTAGCAATTTCTAATGGTAATGCATTTAAAAAAAAAAAAATGTTACATTATGTAAGGGTTCAAATATCCAAAGTAACAGTGACTATTAAAATGCAATATGAAACTGCATTTTGATTTGCAATAAGCAAAGTATGTCATTTAAGAAAAATGTACATAAACAAAAATGTATTGATTTATTTTATAGGTGGAGCCTTTTTCATTTGGTTCTATAAAGTCTGCATTAAGTTTTTAACCTGTGAATTTTTAACTGCTCTGTCACATGATTTGTATCAAGATAATAAATAAAATGTCATAGTAACAGAACTATTTCCTTTAAAATAAAGTCTGAGTTTTTTTTTCACATGTCTCTTATTTAGGTTCAAATGAAACTGTAAACATAAAAAAAATTAAGCAGTTCTTTGCACAGTCTTGGATAAAGTGCTTCCATTTGACAGTAAATCAGGGTTTTGATAATATTGCTTTGTGAATACTTGTTTATAATTTAATGGTGGAAACAAATTGTTGCAATTCATTTTGACATGTAGTTTTGTATCAAACCTGATTCAATTAAAATGATACAATTTTTTCCCCCAAATAAACTGGCAAGTATACTCCCACTTTAATACATAGTTTGTTCTCACATTAAAAACAAACCATGATGAAATTATTTATATCTATTTCTTCTAAATTTCTCTTGAAAAAAAAAAAAAAAAAAATCTGTTACAAACTTAAATTAGCTACATTTTTTTTCTCATTGATAAAATGAAAACTTAGGCTGATGAATAAATTGCTTAAATCTGTGATCCTGGCTTATATTCATATTATCCTTTAAGTCTATAAAGCAGATTATAATTTGTATTATCACAGGATTATCAACTTTGTCCATTCAAAAGATCTTTCTTTTCAGATATTTTTCTTGCCTTATGGTTTAAGTTGGTCATGAACTTGATGTGACAAGGTCACTAACAGAAAATGGAAATGAATGGGATTTACTTAAGCTTGTATATGTATTATACTAATTGCATGATGAAATAGCTGAAATAGTCATTCCTCAAAGTAGACTATGAGTGCTTTGGGGATGA